ATATTAGGAAACATAAAGTTAAGAATAATTTGGATATTGAAGACTTTGTTTCCACATTAAAGCTTGAGACTTTGATATAATGGATGAGCTATCCTTAATCTTATATTTATATACTTTACTCATTGTCTAAATAAGTGTCATTTAATTAAAACTTTCATTCTTGTTAAATATAAGAGCGGATTTCAATTACCCAGATTGGTTGAAGGCCCAGTAAAGTTCCTTACTTATTGCTTAGGGATTACTTTTAAAGAACATTCCTCAGTACGGTAGTCAGGAATTTTTATTTTATGTTTTGGGTACTGGGGATTGAACCCAGGAGTATTTAACCACTAAGCCACATCCCCAGCCCATTTTATGTTATATTTAGAGACAGGGTCTCATTAAGTTGCTCAGGAGCTTGCTAAATTGCTGAGACTGATCTTGAACTTGCAGTCCTCCTGCCTTAGCCTCCTGAGCCACTGGGATTCTAGGCATGTGCCACCACACCTAGCGGTATTAGTTCTTTTTAAATTTACTGATTGAACATTTAGTGAACACCATTTGTACCAGGCACTTTGCTAGGAGAAAGATAATACAGCAGTGAGCAAAATAAGCACAGTACCACTACAGAGCTTATAATGGGAGGTAACATTGAACAAAGAATTATACCCATAAAAGGTGCCAAGAAGAAGGGCCCAGTGCTATGGGCACAGTACTAGTATAGTTTCTTAGCTTGGTCGTGGGGGGTAGGGAAGTAGAGGAGATTTGTCCAGAGAAGTTCAGGTATAGGCTTTCAGCAAAAAAGAGAAAAGTAATCTGGAAAGAAAAGTTACCTATATAGAGGGAACCATTTGTCTAAAATCTCTGAGAAGAATATCCAAGAGGTCATTATAGGTGGAGTGGCAAAGGTGGTGCATGGGTAGGTAGGTGGGGTTGGAAAAGAGTCAGGCAGGGGTCAGAACGTTCAGGTCACCCAAAGGATTGGGAATAAAGTCCTAAGGGTAATTGGAAAGCCAGTAGAGGCGTTGATCTAGGAGGAAAATCAAAAGAAAGCTTTTTTAAAAGCTTAATATGGCTAAAATGTGGAATGAAAGAATACATTAATTTACCATTTAATTTGTTGTGCAGTGTCCTCTTATTTCTTAATTCAATGATATTAAGAATTTTCATAAATATGGGACAAACCATCTAAGTTTCTGATACATAGAAGTTTCTGAGAAGACTGGGCTAGTAAAGCAAAGTGAAATTGTGCTTGGGTACATAACCTTGGTATGCTTCAGAGCAATGAACCTGCTTTAAGTTTCTTTGCTTTTTCAGCTGGACAGACTGTGGCACCACTGGTAATCCCAGCAATTCTGGAGGCTGAGGCAGATGAATCCCATTCAAGTTCAGATTAAGAAATTAAGTTTCTTTGTTTTTCATCTTTATCACATTTTAAGTTGAAATGCAAGTAACAATGGCAGTGAAAGGAAGAAGATATGTGTCTGTGCACATGCATGAACATGTGGTTTCCTGTAGTTTTGAAGAACAGATTTATGACAATATCAGCAACATATTCTATGTGCTCAAAAATAGTATCTACAAAGTAGAAATTAGAAAAGACTAGAAGACATTAAAAATTATGTGCCTTTAGTTGAATGTTTAAAAAAAAAACGGCAGTCATGGATAACACAAATACAACAGACATTGACATGAAATACAGGGATTTTAGATTTGGGACCACAGGATGGCTTTGATTAGCATTGTGTTTGAGTAGTAAAGTGCTGCACTAACACTAAGGTCCTCTGACAATAGAGGAGAGAGGCTAATATTTTTATATTTAAATACTCTTCCATCTTCCCTATCAGCATCTCTTCTTGTCTTCTTTTGATTGTGTCCATTAAATTATCAGTTGTTCCGGTATAGTAATTTCTCAGAGGTATTTGCTTCTTGAGTATGTGGGGAAATTCTTGGAAATTAGTAGTTTCCTTTAGTAAACACTAGGAAAATGGAAGAAAGATAAAGAGCACTCTTGACTACCATTTCTTAACTGGCAACCTATTGCCTCCCAAACCAGAAGTGGTTTTCCATGGATCTAGGACTATAATACTTTTTTACTATTTTTCAGGCTAAGCAACTCCCTCTTAGGAATGAAAGAATGAACATACACTAGGTAAACTCTTTGAAGATGCTGCTGACCCTTGATCTAAGAAATTTTGTGCAACTGAAGACCTGAGTTTAAATGCCAATTTGTAACTGACTCACTATTTGAAGAGAATGAATCATTCACTTGATTGAATTACTTAGCTCCATTGTCTCAGGTGTGGTACTAAAGAACGCCACTCAGTATGCTCAAGTATGCAATTGATGAATCATTCTCATCAAAATAGAAACACATCTATTAAGTGCTTAATTGTGCACATGACTTGGAAACATTCAGAATATGTAGGTTAAATATTAAAATAAATGAGTACTTATTAAGGTTTCATGGAACAGGTGGGAACTATTATTATAAAAAGGGAGGAGGCTTGCTATGTATTAATTGTAAGGTTAATGAAGCTCTGGGTATATTTGGTGAGAATGATAAGAGTAACTTCTCAGCAAGTTCTCAGTATTTGGTTGAAAAGTGGCTATTATATTTAATTGGGAAGAAATATGGTTATATTGGGCTGTTTGGCAGTGATAAAGGTTTTTGAAAAATTTCAAACTTCTAGAATTTAATTAATAATGTCCTGATATAGTGTTCTTTTCTTTAATCAAAATCATGAATAAAGAAATTGATCTTCTACCACCAAATGATAGCTTTGGAAGTATGCTCAGACCTATGAGTATTATGCACAAAGACTATAGTATTATTTAAAAAATATTTTAAAAAATAATCTTATTTAGGGGATGGGGTTGTGGCTCAGCGTTAGAGTGCTTGCCTTGCACCTGTGAGGCACTGGGTTCCATCCTCAGCACCACATAAAAATAAATAAACAAAATAAAGGTATTGTGTCCATCTACAACTAAAAAAATAATTCATTTAAAAGATAAAAAATAATTTTATGTTGCAGAAGTCCTAAATTATTCATTTTAGCTTGATATTAAAGAGCAAAAAGGCAGAGAAAATGAATGTTTATTATGTGCCAGTGTTATACATGTTATAAATTCAGTCAATATGTATATATATATTTTTTGTACTGGGGACTGAACTCAGGGTCACTTAACAACTCAGCCATATCCATAGTCCTTTTTATTTATTTATTTTTATTTTAAGACTGTCTAAGTTTCTGAGGCTAGCCTTGAGCTTGCAATCATTCTGCCTCAACCTCAGTTGCTGCAACAGTCAAAAATATATCATCATTAAACTTCATAGGAAGCCTGTGATAGGTAATGTCCTCAGCAAACTGAAGTTTAGATGCTGAGATGATAGAGCTGGGACACACTCAGACCTGTTACTTACGAACTTTCCACAAAATCACTTGAGTCAGAAAGATAAACCAAATAATTTAAAATCAGGTAGGATTAATGGAAATAGGGCAATTTCTTTTGGTTTAGATTTAATTTACAGCTGCAAGGGGAAAAGGTGAATAAAACCTAATGCAGAAAAATGTTTGCATTCTATGATTTTTACTTCATTGGATGATGATCAAGTCTGTTAAATGGGACAGTAGAAGGAGATGAGACAATAAAATGTGCATTAGCAATATGTAAGTTTCAGGTAATATTTTTTCTGAATCATATTTTTAAGATTAGCATAATGTGGGGCTGGGGTTGTGGCTCAGGGATGGAGCGCTCGTCTAGCAAATGTGAGGCCCTGGGTTCAATCCTCAGCACCACATAAAAATAAATAAAATAAAGGTATTGGTTCCAACTACTTCCAAAAATTAAAAAAAAAAAGTTTTTTAAAAAAGATTAGCATAAATGTGATGTTACTATTGTTCTATCTAGTGTGTAGGGATATTGTAAAGCATTAACAAACCCTGTAAAAGTCTTAGTTTATTATTTCCGACCTCATCAGTGTTCTTATTTTGTTCTTACCTCAATTACTACACCCATTATTTTACCTCCTAGTCATTTCTCTAGTACAATGTCTCTACCAGAAGATGAATTCTTCCAGGACTGGGAACATATTTCTTTCATCATAGTATTCATAATAACCTGGACAGTCCCTGAAATGTAAGTGCTCAGTAAATGCTTATTGAACATCAATCAGCAGACTATTACAAAAGGGTTCATCTTTCTGATTCCATTTTGTTTCCAAAATATTTAATAACAGTAGTAATATTTTCATAAATTTTATATCGTAAGTGTACCAGATCTGCTCATATACTGTTCACTGGCGTTACGTGCCCCAGACGTGAGATATAATAGCAAGGGAGTAATTATTTTACACAAACATAAAAGCTTCATTCTGTGGGAATCTAACTCATAAACTCAAGGAAACAAACTAGGTAGTAGCAATCTTCATTTTTGGGCTCTCACGACTGAAGGAAAAGCAAGATGCTACATCGGAGATGTGCCAATCTCTCACTAGGTGGCTCTCTTTCCCAGGAGTGGGCGGCGCCTTGGTGTCAGAGGGAAGATTGGGGGCAAAGTACTGCCGCAATCACCGCGCGTCGTCGCGCATCATACCAGGCGCTTGTTTGCAGCACGAGGGGCACAGGTCACTTTGTTTCCTTAGTGACAATCTGTCCTTGGGATTTATTTCAAATTAGGCAGTACTTTCCTTTTCTATTTCGTTAATGACAACCTGTCCTTGGGATTTATTTCAAAGTCGGCTGTACTTTTCTTTCCCCCAAACTTAAACATGAAGTTCCAAATAAACGTTGGTCCGGTCTTTTAGTGGGTGCGGTCCCAGGGAAGGATTTCAAAGTGCCCCTTCAGCTAGCTTGGAAAGATGGCAGGAATCTGATACTCAAACCAAACCAAAAACTGCGCATTCAAATCCTGGTTTTAACTATCCAGTGAGGGGTGAGTTTCTAAAGGTTGCGTACCATTATTTACTCTCAAGTATTTTGGGATACCTGCTTACATGACTCCACAAGATGAACTGAAAATGAAATTTGGAAAACGTCAATTTATTCAAGCTGTCAGCATGACGACTTCTCCAGCAATTCTCATACACTCTACAATACATTGACTGCGTTTTAGCCCCGTACCTGACACAAAATGCACATAAGACATTCAAAAAGAGTTGTTCATAAGAATGGAAAATTCTTTTCCTAGACTCCTTTCATTGGACCTTCGTGCCAACACTAGTTTAGTCAATATTTTCTCTCTGATCCCCAAATTACAGGGTGTCAAGTTCTAAAATACTGAGACTCCTGGGAGGAGGGTACTTGAAAAGCGGCCTTTAATAATCAAGCCGGGATCCTTACTGGGAACCCTTCTAAGAGGGAGGGCAGTAATAAGCCCCTCCGACCGTCCTGGATTTCAAATGCTTGAGTACCACTTGTCAGCTTTCTAGGACGTGTTTCCACCTTCGCCGGTCTAGTCCCGCAGGCTGTCAGACGCTCAGTCGCCGACGGTGTCCTGTGGGGTGGGGCGGAGGGGATTTCGGGAAGGGGTCTGCTGGCAGGAAAACTCGGATGTGCTGGTCGGCGGGAGAGGGATCGCTATTGTCGTGTGCCGCTCTCCTCCCTCAGGGACCCCGTCCAGGCGGGATCCCGCCTCCCTGAGCCCGAGGCAGTTGTGGGGAAACCCCTCGCCCTACCGCGCAGCCCGGCGTCGCAGCCTCGCTTTCGCTCTGCCCGCTCCAGCCCACCACCCGCCAGCCTTCAGGCCCTGCATCTTCTTCGCAGGCCGGGCCCACTCCACGCTCGGCTCAGAGAGGAAACTATGAAGGTGGTTCCCGCCCGCAACCGGGTGGAAATGCCCACGGTGAATGCCTCGGGGTCTCCCCACAATTGCTAAGGGAGGAGGGAAGGGAGGAGGAAACAGACTTCACTGCCCGGGAAAACTACCTCGATTCCCACGCCAGGGTGGCCTGGGGATGGAAGGGAAGTCAAGGGGGAATCCTGGGCGGTTTCCCGGGAATCCTTTCGCCAAGGGGAGGGTCACCCTGTCCGCACACTCCGGTTACTATGACGATACAACCACAGCCTCCAGTTGCCATGACAGCTGCTTATCCAATCCGGTTGGTTTCCTTTCTCTTCCACCCTACCTCCTCCAAAAGTCTCCCAGTTTGCATGGGGAGGGGCAGCAGAGAAGAAGGAGGCCTTCGCGTCAGTCGTGCGCGAGGGAAGACAAGAATCGAGGGATTGGCGGGCGGAACTGTAGGAGGAAGGAGCGGCGTTTCCGGCGGGGAAGAGTGGAGGAGTGGAAAAAGGAAGAGAGAAATCGGGTGGAGTGGAAAGACGGGGGGAAGACTTTGAGTGTAACTCCCGGTCGATTTGGGCTCGATGTTCCTGGTGAGGCTGGGGTTGCCTCCTCGCGCGGGAGAAGAGGGGTGGATCCGCAGGAAGCCGCCAAGCGCCACCAGCAGATCCCGCAGCAGCCGTAAAGGCGCCTTGTGGTTCCCAAGAGGGAGCGGTACAGAAAGACGGAAGTCACCCTGAAGGACCAGCGCTGTTGAAATCTCGCGAGAGAAGCCCCACTTCCTTCCTCTGTTTCTCCCTCCTTTCTCCCCCGCCCCCTTCCTTCTCCCTCCCCTTTCCCCCTCCCGGGTCGGAGTGTCCCTGCGCCCCACGGGCCAAGAGCAGCAGCTAGAGCAGCCTTCCCCGCTCCCTCCCCCTCGCCTCACTCACCCTCCCCCCCTCCCCCCGCGCCGAGTGAGGAGGAGCCGGAGGAGAGGAAGATGGCGGCGGCCGCCAGCACCCGCGGTGCCGCGGGGCCGCTCCGAGGAGCTTGAGAGACCCACGGAGGCTTCGCGGGAAGACGCGGCGGCGGAGGATGAGCCTGCAGAGCGCGCAGTATCTCCGGTGAGTGCCCAGGCCTGCCCAGGACGTGGTGGGAACAGGCGGAGGGTTAGGGCAAGAGGCAACAGACACAGAGGTGGTATGTCCGGGGTGGTGGGGGAGTTGCTGCGTCCTCCTCTTCCCCGGCTGGGAGGCGGGGGCTCCGAGGGGATCTGCGGGAGGGGGCGGAGCGGGCACCCACATGCCTGCAAGGGTGCCGAGCTCCTGCCGACCAGGCTGAGCTCCAGCGAAGCCGGCCGCTCCCGGTGCGAGGAGGGAGGTTGGGGAAGCGTGAGAATATGTGTTCGCGCGCGCCCGGGGTCTCGGGCTCGCCGGCGAGTGGTGGGGAGAGACGCCTGGGAAGGCATCTGCGACCCCAGGTGGAGGTGGGTGTGGAGGAGTCCGATCCCTGTGGCAGGGGAAACGTGGTGCGGTGTGGGATTGGTTGGAGGGATGCATGCGGAGAGGACTGGGTGGAAGTCGGCACACCTGGGGTGCTGGGGGGGAGGGCAGACCGGAGGGGGGTAGACGGCAGGAAACTAGAGCTCGTTCTTCATTCGCGGGCTGGGAGTAGTGAGAATTAATTTCATCTGTAGTTAGTTGACCAGGTGGGGGGAATATGAAGACGGGGAATGAATGGGGAAGTGAGGAGAGGGAGGCACTCTCTATGAACAAGCTTGTGTTCCCTAGAAGAAACTGGGTTGGAATCAGTGTAGTTGGAAGATACCATTCTGAGAGTCGTGTGCATTCATTAAGTGTGGTGTAAGGAACTTGTATGTCCGAGATACAGTGACGCATGGATTGTGTGTGTGTGTGTGTGAGAGAGAGAGAGTGAGAGAGAGAGAAGAGAAGAGAGAGATGTGTGTCTGGGGTGGGTGGATGGCAGCTATTGATGAACATTTCAAGAAGGAGAAGATACAGATACAATGGAACTTAGTACCTGATAGCAGAGAGCATGTTGAATATAAAGACCTCAGCTATCATGAAGCGAGAAAGGAAGCTGAATAAGAACTTGGAGGTAGAGCTAAAGAGGGTCAAAAATCTTGATGGTACATAAAAAATAAGCTTACGTTAATTTGTGTGTTGCTTTGCTACTGCTTAGAAAAGGGGAAGATCTTAAAACTGGTCCTTTTTGTCTTGCAGGAGCAGAACTAAGAAAGGCGTTATAGGAAGATGTTTTTAAAAAGTGGTTTCATACCTTGTGGAGGAGGGAATTGGATGGGATGGAAGTCTGAAATTAGCAGAAAAGTCAGTCTAGCTGTTTAGTGAAGTGAAATTATTGATTGTGGACCCCTATATATATTGTAAGAAAGGGTGGTAGGTGATACAAAGGGTGGCTGTTCTACTTTGAAATTAGCATTATTAAGCACAGAATGGAAAGGAGAGAATGATGAGATCTTTGAACTATGCTTGAATGCCTTTGTATAAAGCAGCTTACATGCTCAATGACCATGGGACACTTGGAATGATTTCTGTATATTGAGGCAATTTCTCTATTATCCCTTTATTGTTTAATGTATCAGATAAATTTAAAAAGTACAGTTGTGGCAAAGAGCAATGGTAGGTACTGAAGAGGGATATGGAAAACATGACAGTTCTTAATCTTAAGGAATTTGCATTTTAATATCTATTAGGCAAGTAAATTAATAATAGCACAGTACCCTGAAAGATACCAAATGTTATGAGTCCAAAGGCAGGAGATTACCTATCTGAGCAGTTGGAGGAATCAGGAAAAGCTGTCTATATTCATTCACTCATTCATATACTCATGATTCATCAGTTGTTTAGTTGGTCACCTATATGAGAGGCAGTGTACCAGCTGCTAAGAATAGAAAGTTAGAACTCCACCCTCCTTTTACAGGCTTATAGTTTGTTAGGCTTTAAGAGGAAAATAGCGCTTATAATGAACTTTAAGGATGAACAGTATTCTGACAGGTGTGGATTAAGGAGTTTCCAAATGCAGTGAACATGAACAAGATATTTAAATAGGAGAGAGAGAGAGAGAGAGAGCTGTTCAGTTAAACTAGAATGTAGGGGTGTTTTCAGTTGGAAAAGCTTACATAGAGTTTTATCAAGTTTGACCCCTTCCTTTTTCAGATTAGGAAAGTGATTTATTTTGTAAATCAGCACAATCAGAAGAACTTATCCTTGGGTTGTGGAATTCATGGTAGACAACTTGTGATGAATTTAGTTCTTTGAAGAAAGGAGAAAAGAAAAAGAATGAACATAATGTTTAAATAAGCTACATACTTATTTAAAGTATGAAATGGTTGAAGTGAAAATGGTTGAGAATTGTATAGCTTGTATGCCGAAACTGTAGTTCAAATGTAGGTCTTCTGACTTCAAGTCAGCTGTACTGTGCTGCATGTCTGGTCACAAATATGTATTGAGAGCTTCCTATGTTCTAGATGTGGAAGGTACACTGGTAAACACAAGGGTAAACATGGAAGGGTTTAGTCTAGTAGAAGGACAGTAAACATGAACAGAACAATATAAGGTAGTTACAAGTGCAAAGAAGCAAAAATTGGGATGTACTATTTTATATATTCAATGTGTTCAGTGAAAGTCTATTTAATAAGGTGACCATATTTAAGAGGATGTCAAATATTATGATCTGTAGTTTATAGTTAAAATTGGTAGACAGAGAGTCTGAGATTATTTGTTAGAAGGGAATCCACATGTTCATAGCTATCTATTAGAAAAATTACTCTGTACTAGGATAGTGGACTCTTAAGTTCCAAAATAAGGTCTTAGCAGTAAGATTAGAAAAGTGTGATGAAGTGGGGTGTACTTAGAATGGGAAGAGCAGTGTGTGTTCTGTGCAGTGTCTCTTCTATTTTATAAATCAGCACAATCAGAAGAACTTATCCTTGGGTTGTGGAATTCATGGTAGACAACTTGTGATGAATTTAGTTCTTTGAAGAAAGGAGAAAAGAAAAAGAATGAACATAATGTTTAAATAAGCTACATTCTTCTAGCCAAAAGTCAAATAAGCAAAAAGGGGGATTCATAGGAGCTGGTGTCCCTTTAAGATTCCCCAGAGCCAATTAAAAAAAAAAAAAAAGCCCATTTAATTATATTTATTTTCTTTTTTTTATTATATTTTTTTTTTTTTTTTTTGTAGATGAACACAATGACTTAATTTTATTTACTTATATGTGGTGGCTGGGGATTGAATCCTGTGCCTCACATGTATGAGGCAGGTGGTCTACCACTGAGCCATAGCCACAGCCCACCCCAGAGCTAATCTTGTCCCATTATTGTCAGTTTTTCCCAGGTAAATAAAGCAAGTGTTAGGATTCATAGGAGCCAGGGACTGAAAGGTGTGTGTGTCTTGGAGGCGGGGATGTGGTAATGAAGAAGGACTTCACTAGCCTCAGTTTCCTTCTTTCTCCTTTAGATAATTATTCATTCCATTTAAAAGCTGCTGTGGTGAGACTGGAGAATATCTTCAAGGAAGCATTATGTTCACTCTCTTTGAAATAGAACTGTTGGTTTTTATAGAAACTCAGGGAGGCTGCTGGGTATTTCTGAATGAGTGTGGTTGCGAGTGTAGCAGTTATTTGTGACCTTGACACTAGGAAGAGTTTATTGTCTACCTTTATTGGTGGTAGAAGACCATGACTGAGCAGTTTTTAAAATACATTGCTACAGATCTTTTCTCATGTAAATGAAAATTAGTTTTCTCTTAGCTGAATTTTAATTTCTCAGGAAAAAAGGGCCAGGGTGTCCAGCATTGAAATGGTGGCATGGTGGGAAACAAGGGAACAATGTGGCAGTTTCAAAAGAGTAAGAAATGAGGATATGAGGTAAGAAACCTCAGTAAGAACAAGAAAAGGGGAATTCAATATCAAGGGGACTGAATTAGTCTCAAGTTGTAGAAATATAACAGATGAGAGGCAGAATCTCTTTATAGGAAAGGGGATGTTTTGTGGGTTTTTTCTTTGCTGTTGTTGTTAGAAGGGAGATGTCATTTTTTCCTAATAGTAAATTAACATGACTCCTATCCAAATTAAAATACTTTCTTAAATTTTACAAAAGTGAGGATTGAACTTAAATATGGAGGTTCTAGGCTGAAGAGCATTGGGAATTTACCACTAAATTTGAAGAAAAATTGGATTTTAAAAATTTGATTTATGATAAAATGAAAGATTAACACTTAGGTGCAGTAAAAGGAAAAGTGTGAGTTGAATATAGTTGCTTTGGTAGGGGAGGGGGGAGAGTGAGAATAGGCTATAGATGAGATCTTAGATGAGGTATAATATACTTCAAAAGAGTGGTGTTTTGGAAGAGTAGAAATATGGATTAACAACAGGGTCAGAAAACTAGGGTAGGAGAAGTATTAAACTACCAGTAGAGAAGACATCATCAGAGTTGTTTTGGAAGATGAGAAAGTAGAATAATCATAGCCATAGGGAATACCAGTCAAACAGGTCAAATCCTATTATAAAAAAGGTGGCACAGGTGCCACCAAATGACATCTGTTGCTGTTATGGGAGACACTGTTCATAGTCTGTATTCTCTCCAACTTTTATCCTTTGCTTCTTCACTGTTTTTGGTTTTAATTTCTTCCTGTACTGTGGGTGTTTCAGTAAACCCTTAGCTGATCCTTGGTATTAGACTTTTTTACAAGAAAAGTCCAAAAATTTTCCATTTTATTAGGATTTTTTTTTTTTTTTGCTATGATACCTCTATAGAGAATAAGGAGTATTCTGGGGGCACACTTCTTTCAGAAACTTTGTTACCAGAGGTAGAAATAATGTAACAGCCACAGAATTGTCTTCTGACATTGCAGAAAAATGGTTTTCATTTAAATAGTAGTGAAAATATCCATTGTGTTGTAAGATAAAATGTGTAGTTAAAGGGCTGGGGTTGTAGCTCAGTGGTATAGAGTGCTAGCCTAGCGCGTGTTAGGTGCTAGGTTAATCCTCAACACCATATAAAAAAAAAGAAATAAAATAAAGATGTTGTATCCATCTACAACTAAAAAAATTTTTTTAAATGTGTCATTGTAAATCATTGTA